ATAAAAGGATCGTAGCATCCATTCAAGTACAATACGGAAAGAAGAGTGGAAACTGCATTTCAGACCTGTTATAACTGAAAGCTTTACTAAACATTATTTATTGTCATTTAGGCGCAAGAAGTATTTCCCCATCCACTGATAAATGGAAGCACCTGCCCACTCATCCAATGCCTATTCTACACAGAATGTTTACGGTGCTGAGAAACATTGCATCTTCAAGCATTCGATGGAGCGTACCCACGGAGCGAGAACAATTTCATTGTGATATGCTTATGGTTTGAGTATAGGGTTAACGTGTTAGAACACAATGAACAAGAATTATTATTATAAGTGTAGGGTATAACAAATACATACACGTTATCTTCTTTTAGGTGGCCTTTGGAGGGGGTGGGTTGCAGAATCATGTTAATATCATTAACCCTTCAATCATCACCACGTGAATAATAACGATTCTGAATCGGTGGATTTTCTTATTTTTATTTTCAGCCCGCTTTATATTTATTCTTATCAAAAGTGGATCGAGATAGTAAAGAGGAATACAGATGAGTTTGTCACTAATCCTAATGGTAGGTAGGATCCTAAAGTTAAGACATGTGAAGTTTTATCTTTAAACAATTTTGAATTAATACAAATTGCACTGTTGATACACACAGTATACACCACAAGGCGTTGATTTACACCACCGTATTAGTTAAAAGAATGATTAATTAAATAAATAATGTTACTAGCCAAAATCCTATAACGCATGAATCATTATGTAGGTTGTTTAACTATGTTTACGTATATGGTGTTTTGTGTTATATACACTGTTATTAAATGTGTAGGTATCTAACAATAATGACACCTGCTACACAATAATGTTTCATCAGTAATGAATAGGACATAAAAGAAACGAGGAACAAATATTATTCAATTAATATCATAATCAAATTTCGACAAGCAATTTCTTTTTGTTAATCATTATTCACATATTTAAAAAACAGGGTAGCTCATTCACAATCGTGTTCAACCATAAAGCCCTTTACACAAACAGAGAGAAAGAAATTAAGGATATACATAAAAAAAACATGCCCTATCCACATATACACAATGAAGTCTAATTTAAGAAAGTTGGGACATATATACAATAAATGAAGTATGTAGTATCAAGTATCAAGTTTATTTGTCTTCCAGAAAACACATGTGACAAAATATAATAGAGTATAATCATATTACAGTACAATGTAGAATAAAGAAAGACGAGGAGACCTTGGTTGAAGCACAGCTTTTTAAGTTAAGGCCCCCTCATATGGTGTGACAAAGATAACTGAATCATGAATACAACAACAAATATGGAATATATACTATTCACGAAATACTCTCAGAAAACAACTACCCAACGATGCATCGACCACAGCATGGATGACCACAATAAGTATACCCAAATATCCGCACATCCCCATCCAGGGGCGTACGCTGGATTTTTCAAGGGGGGGGGGGGTTTAAAATCTGGCCCAAAATATTTTGCTCCCAAAAATTTGAAAATCGCGCCGGCCGAAAAGTCGCTCAGTGGGGGGAGGGGGGGGGGGGGGGGGGGGGGGGGGGGGGGGGTAAGCGGACCCTTTTTTTTTCGGTCTCGAAATTTTAAAATTTGACATTTTTTTTCTTGGGGGGGGGGGGGGTGATAAGGTCACTTTACGTTAGCCGTGGGCATAATTTTTTTTTTTTTTTTTTTTTATTAAAAAAAACAAACAAACAAAAAAAAACAAAGGGGGGGGGGGTTTAGTTTTTTTTAGGGGGGTTAACACAGATAAAAATACCAAAGGGGGGGTTTGAACCCCCAACCCCCACCCCCCACCCCCCTGCGTACGCCCCTGGTAAACTAACAAACTCACCGGCCCGAATTCACGAAGGAGGTTTGTCGACAAACCTAGGTTTATGTACGTCATATAACGCGTTTGGACGCGTTTTTTTACAAGCCAGGGGGTTAACCTAAGTTAACTCTAAGTTGGACTTAAATATTATGGAAAGCCATTTATAGCCTTTAAATGAAATATATTCAAAAGCAAAAATTCAAGTAATTTAGACTTTTTATAAATTCCACATCAAGAACATGAAATCTCCTTGATAATAGAAAATATGAAAGGTTTTAATTAACATTTCATGCCTTTTAAAATAACCTTTAAAAAATATTTCGTTTATGCTAACGGCTTTCCATAATGTCCAACTTAAAGATAAGTTCAACTTAGGATCTTTGTGAAACACCCCCCTGGTTTCTAAAAACGCGTCGAAACGCGTCATATGACGCACGAAGACCTAGGTTTGTCATATGTCATATGAGCACGAACAACCCATCCATGGGAGGGCGATCTAATATGGACAAACCCAAGCTGACACCAAATCGAGACATAAATGAGTTAACGCTCTCTGAGTGCAGAGGTTAAGTAGGAATATATGGTTTATGTACAGATGGGAAAGAAAAAGGATCAAAGGGATTATGTCAAAGTCAAGAAATAACGAAAAATAGATCGAGAGTAGAGTTAAATATGCCACAGTACATGATTTGACCTTGAAATCTAGTATTTATCTAAGTTTTCTATATTATCCATATGAATTACACACCATTAATTCTGATCACGTTGATATCGTGGACTCTTACAAGCCCCTTTTCCGTTCATTTTGTAAATTATATACGTTTTCCTTTCTTCGTAAATTGCATGTTAATACTTACCTCTGCTTGTGTAGGCCTGTGTTAATATGTATGATAGGCCGATGTGATAACACTATTTCCCCATTAATTTGATTATCATACCATCCATTGAAATGCTTGAACAAGATTCATTTTTTCTATTAGAGTTAATATGCATGCTCATATCATCTCATATCCTCGGTTGGTAACCAATCGAATAATCACGGTGATTTTACAAGATTTGGGGTTTTGAGACCATTCTGTTAATTCATTTGAAACAGGCATGGTGTGTACTATGTACCATTCCCCCAACATCTACCCGCTCCCGTGTTGACATGGTTGACCTTAATCATCTGAACATGGATCTACGTGAGACATACGGCCATGATCTGACGATCCACAGTCAACAATTTAAACATAAATAATATATCTGAAACGACTTTGACATTATATTTGGATGTAACATAAATTAAGCATGAAATAGAAATATACCTTCCACTTATCTGCTTGTATACTATATCATGCAATTAGGTGCTTAATATCCATTTTCCTTGTACTGGATACAGGTTTCTAATTTTGAGCCGAGACATGGGGGTGATTAAAGTTAAATATAATTATGGCAATGCTTACACCAATACCGATATTATTTTAATCTAGTCCAACTTGGTCTTGATTTCATTCATTTATTTATCAATTAATTTTCACTAACTACCGATCTTTAAATTTCCCAATCATGTTTCAACCTTTTTTTTATCATAAACAACATCATCAGTCTATTAGAACATTATTGTCCCGACTGATTTTCCTACCACAAGTATATTACATTTCATTTACATCATCATAGTTTTAAATATATTACTATCTCATTACTCACTTCATTTACTCCCTATACCGGCTCCTCCTCAGTCTCCTTCCTTTATCACCCTTATTTCTCTCTCCCCCTCCCTACGTTTCTCACTCGATTTTGCCCATTCTTTTTAAAATTTAAATATGGCAGGAAATTATATGCCACTGAGAATACTGATAAAAACACATATATGATGATGATGATGATGATGATTCACATCATTTGTATGGTGCCATTTATCTGTTTAAAAAACATTCAAATGCGCGAGCTCCTCCAATAAAGTTAGCATAATTTAAATGTCTAAAGGAAGATGTGAGTTTTGAGTGAAGTATTTCAGATTTTCAGATTTTCTCCATTCGTTTGTGTTACCCCCCCCCCCTGGAAGAAAAAAGGATATTATGTGACGTAGGTGGGGTATGTAGATGTCATACAAATATCATGAGTTTGGACGTTATGTCGAGTTTAACTCATTGAATTTGTTTCGATTGAATAGGCCGCGTCCCTCTGTGTGCTATTCTTTCTGACGGACATGACGGAGACATCCCCAAAGCGAGAAATAGATTGAAGCAGCTCGGGATCACTGGTATGCACGAAGTACCTTACGATAGTGACATTCACTCAGATGAGAATCTGCTGCAGTGGCTTGACCTTCTACGTGGATGCCTCCAAGAAGGTGACATAACGTTAGCAGCTGATGATCTGAAGAAGATATGCACGAATCCAAGATGTAGGTTGTTCTATGAGAAAACCAAGAAAGAGGTGAAAGAAGCGATTCAGAAGATGTTTACAGAGGTCGAAGAGCGAAAACAGGAATTAAAGAAAGAAAGAGAGGAAGACAGAGCAAGATCTGAGAAAGAGAAACGCTCATTGGCAGCAGAAATGAGGAAGAAACTCGAGTCTAAGCAACAGCATGTAGACACTTTGACGGAAACCGTAAGGGAGAAAGAGCAAAATGAGACGACTCTAAGACAACAAGTTGAGGAGCTAAAGAAAGGAAGAGAGGAAGACAGAGCAAAAGCTGAAAAAGATAGAGGAAGATCTTAGGAAGCAAAGCGCTCATTGGCAGAAGAAATGAGGAAGAAACTCGATTCTAAGCAACAGCATGTAGACACTTTGACAGAAACCGTAGGGAAGAAAGAGCGAAATGAGACAACGCTGACACAACAAGTTAAAGAGTTAAAGACAGGAAGAAAGGAAGAGAAAGCAAGATCTGAGAAAGAGAAGCGCTCATTGGCAGCAGATATGACGAAGAAACTCGAGTCTAAGCAACAACGCGTAGACACTTTAATAGAAACCGTAGGGGAGAAAGAACGAAATGAGACGACTCTAAGACAGCAAGTTGAAGAGCTAAAGAAGAAGCATGATTATAAGGAACAACTTTTGGAGCAACTTGAGCGTGAGACCTGGAGGCTGAGAACCAAAATCCAACTAGAAAGTGAGATTCGATCTGCAGAACAGATGAAGAAAGCAGAGTCACATCAATGGAGTTTCATTCCTTGGGTAACTTCTGGAAAACAAGCTCAGGGTGGTAAGACTTTATTTTCATTCTCCCTTTCAACTCCTTTTTTGTCTATTATACATAATACTATATAACTCATATTCTATTTTTGTCACTTTTTAAAATATTTATAATTTGAAGCTTATCAAGTCCAATATGGTCTATATAGCTCCCTATACCCTATTCTGCTACTTTGAAATACTTCGAATATCGAGTTTATCACAGTCCATAATGATCCTGAACATAAATGTATATGTTTCTTGTTTGTTTTTGTTGTCATTATGTCAGAAATAACGCCATTCGATTAAATTATCCAAGAAAACTGGAGCTATGCAATGCTTGTTTATTATAGACACTTTAGAAGTATAAAAAAAACATAGAAATGTAGTGAACGATAAAGATCATTCAAAATATTTATCTTATTGTTTTTGCTCATCCAAACTGACTTCATTCCTTCATGAAAGGCACATCATCATTTGAGGATAATTCAACCGGAGGACTGGGAAGGAGTGATACATTACAAGCAGGGTGAGATGAAATATATTTACTCTTAACATGACAATGGACGCATTATTTATCTTATTGTGACAACACTATTATGGAATGTACTTTTGTGTGTAAAATGAGTGGTGCTAAAATGTCAATAACAATTATACAAGTACGGCAGCGCTTATGTTCTATGGATGCAAAATCATGTTTATAAATGCTATGACCACCTACATGTGATTATGTAGAACCAAAAGTGAGTAAAAGATTAAAACTCATTAACAAAAAAAAATGAGAATTTGGCTGCATTAAAGTCTATGGTAATATTGCTCTGAGGATCCATCACTGCTCGCAGACAAATTTTGTAATTTAATGCGTGAACTTTTGGACAAACACGCACCAGAGCGCACAATCCCCGTTTCTCTTCGACCGTCTGCCCCTTGGTTCAATGATGAAGTTCGAGAGGCGAAACGGCATCGTCGTCAAGCTGAGCGTAAATGGAGGAAGTCTCGTCTTGAAATACATAGTCAGCTTTATCGGGATCAGTGCTGCTCTTACAACCAACTTCTGATACAATCTAAGTCACACTACTTAACATCAACCAAAGAACAGTGTGATACTAAACAGCTTTTTAGATTTGTGAAGAAACTTACTGCACCTGCGTCTGAACATATCCTTCCTGAACATTCATCCGATGTGCAGCTAGCTAATGACTTTGGACAGTTCTTCCACCAGAAAGTTCAAGGCATCGTCTCTTCCTTAGGTGGTGATTGCAATCTTGCTGACAGCTCGTCTCCCTGCAACCACTCCTTCAATGGATTTGATGTAGTATCCGAGGCAACTGTACAAAGAACTATTAAGGAGAGTCCTTCCAAGTCATGCAGGCTTGATCCTATACCAACAACTCTCCTCAAGGATTCTATTGATGAAGTGGTTCCGTTTATTACCAAGCTTATTAATCAGTCATTATGTACTGGTATTGTCCCAAGTGCGTTTAAAACTTCTCATGTAACACCGGTGTTGAAAAAGCCCCATTTAGATCGTAATGATTTAAAGAATTATCGCCCTATAGCGAATCTTATGTTTGTTGCTAAAATCATGGAACGTATTGTAGCTAATCAAATGAAAGCATATCTTAATGATAATTGTTTATTTTCTGACATGCAATCAGCTTACCGGCAGTTTCACTCTACAGAGACTGCACTGCTCAAAGTGTACAATGATTTACTATTGGCAGTTGATAAGGGTCAAGAAGTAGCCTTAGTAATGTTAGACTATTCAGCAGCGTTTGACACTATCAATCATCATTCTATGGTTGAACGCTTCTGCCACACGTTCGGGATTGGTGGCACAGCCTCAAAGTGGTTTACATCATACCTTGAACATAGAGAACAGAGAATTGTAATCAACAAAAGTATATCTAACCCTTTCCCTCTTTTGCATGGCGTGCCCCAGGGTTCGGTCCTCGGGCCGCTCGAGTTTATTTTATACACGAGTCCGCTCAGCGATGTAATAAATGGACATGGATGCATACACCATGTAACATATGCGGACGATACACAATTGTATGTGATCCTTGAACCCCGTCACCGGTCGGTTAGCTTAACAAATCTTGAAGAATGTATTAGTAATGTGAAATGTTGGGCACAGAAAAACTATCTTAAGCTCAACAGTGACAAATCTGAATTACTTCACATCACATCTCAGTTTCGTAAACCCTTGCCCTTGCCAGATTTTGTTTTAGATGACACAAAATTGTGTACCTCTGAATCGGCCAAAAACCTGGGTGTTACCATAGACACTGCTCTCAATATGAAGGCTCACATAAGGAAAGTATGTAAATCTGCATCTTATGGTATCCACAAAATTGGCAAAATTAGGAAATTTTTAGATAAACCCACCACAGAACGACTGATTCATGCATTTGTCACTTCCCACTTAGACTACTGTAATGGCCTCCTTGTTAATTTGCCACCCTCAAACCTTGCTCCTCTTCAACGTATCCAAAATGCTGCCGCTCGTCTAGTTACCCGCTCAAGACCTTATGAACATATTACTCCAATCCTCCGCAATCTCCACTGGCTGCCAATAATTCAACGTATCCAATTTAAAATTCTTCTCCTTGCCTTTAAAATCCGTAACGGTGAATGCCCCACGTACCTTTCCAGTCTTGTAAAATCCAAACCCCCCTCCTCCAGGTTGCGTGCTTCTACTTCCTCTCACCTTCAACTAATTCCTGGCCCTCGTGTGAAAACCAGATACGGGGATAGAGCGCTTTCTGTAGCTGCCCCCCAGTTGTGGAATAGCCTCCCGTCCTACATTCAAAATGCTCCTTCTACATCCACTTTCAAAGTAATGTTAAAAACCCATCTGTTCAAAAACATACCATGAATTTTGTCTCTCTAAACATGTCAAATATATAAATGATGTTGTACTTCTATTTGTTATGTAATAAGTCATCTTTAGCAGAATTTAAGTTAGATTAAGCTGATTTATTCATTTATTTGTAACAAACTGTAATTTTGATTTTGTAACGTAACATAGCATAACATACTGTAATTGTGTACTGAATAATATTGTGTACTTGTGGTGCTGTCGTCCCGGCTTTATTTCGTGTAAGGATATTACTTCACTTAATGGCTGCTGGGACAACAGCACCACTGCGCCTAGAAACAATGTATTAGGCGCGTTATAAGTGTGATCTATTATTATTATTATAGTTAAAAGTGAAATCCTTTCATGAATATATAATCAGTAATTTGAGCATGGTCTCATCACTGGAAGAACGCATTTTCCCGTTATTTTTTTTCACCGAAGTAAAGATTTCAATTACTTTTTAAGTGTATACGTCATACCTACGTTCTATGACCACCCCATGTTTGTCTTTTTTGTTACCGTGTACCATTCTAGAGAGGAGCCCCCAGACGATGAGTTTGCAGGCATATTGCAGCAGATAGCTGACGATCTTTACGATGAAGCCAAGATCGACAGCCTTGCTGGTCAGCTGGGAATCCTACATAATGATGAACAGAGAGCGCTCATGACCAATGTCAAGTTCAACCGAGTTACCAGTGATGGAACTCGTCATATGCTGAAACAATGGAGAAGAGGTGTGTCCAGGGAAGATGAACGGATTGAGCTTACGAAGGCACTGCACGCTGCCAAGTTGGTCAACCTTGCAGACCTGCATCTCAGCGAAGGTAAAGTTTATGTTCATTAATAACGATTGTAGTTTCGTAATAAGGACCCCATTCAACACTTCAGCAACATACTGTTATAGTTGGTGTACAATACGGCCCATGTTTTTAGATACCAAGGTGACGTAATGCAGAAAAAATAGCTGTGCACACAAACAAATTCAAACAGATGCTGACTAGTAACATCAAGTTCTCTTCTACTACTATAAAAATACAAGCAATTTGAAATTCAATGCGATAAGTTCTACACAATTATGATAATTCCAATTCGATGCCAATTGAGATGAAAAAAAAACAATTATTTCTATTCTTTCTTGCTGCCGGTCAGGTGTAGCAGAAGAACAGATCGATTCGGAATGTGCCAACGAAGACGACAATGATCAGCAACTCTCTAATACAGATGACACCTCTCTAGAACAGGACCGGACCAAAAGACACACTGATATCCAGGTACTTCAGGGAGCTACAGCAATTAGTAACCACACTCCTCGAGATGGGCATACAGGAGACATGGCGACCAAAACTCAGGAGGACTTGACAGATGCAAGTAGGAGTCAACATCTTGACCAATCGCCGGAGCGCAGTACAGAGGACTTGGATGAAACTGAGGTGACTTCTGAAGAAGTGTCCTCTGAAGAAGTTCATCTTGGAGATGATATGAACAACGTTAGTAGCATTCAACCTTCTGAACGATCGCCAAGCCATGAAATACAAGTCCTATCTGAAGACATGTCTGAGATTACCCCTGGTGGGAAACCCAACGAGGAATCCACCACCTTGGATACAAGCCATGTAGGCGGAATCATAAGTAACGAAGAAGATCTGATTTCTCAACTCGTTCTTACTGATACATCCCCAGAGAAAATATTGCTAATTTTCCTCGTAAAGATAGTAATGGATGCTTCCCAGAAAGCATTCAGTTTATAAGGAATCACCAGATAATCTTCATCATGTCAGGTTTACTTACATTATTTTAGCTTACGATGTTTTAGGTCCACTCCGGGACCCTTTATCAGGATGACTGGTCTTTAGCACCAAATAATTGTTGACCCATGAACACGGTGACGTGGTCGAGGAACGTCATCATGGTCGGCCTGATGAAGCGTCTGTGGACATGAGACGTCGCAGGCGAGAAAAAATAAATCCAGTTTATTTTTTTTTGTATACACTATCTACTGCCGGGGTGGTTAAAAAGAGTAATATACATAACCTTTATGACCATTAAGTACACCATATTGCATCCAAACACCGCATATATAATTTCAAAAATGTGAATTGTTGAAATATTACAAGTATAGCATGCAGAGCGTGATGTTTTTAATGTAGATTTTAATTTTCTTTTTGGCAAGATAACTGGATATAGAAGTTAAATCAAATCTAGTAGTTATACAAGAGTCTATTATTAAAACCGGAGCAATTTTAATTTATTCTTGTATTTTAATCTGTCAACAAATATTAGGTTTGATCAATCCTATAATATTAATCTTTTAAATTTCATTGTATATTTTAAAGGAAATCTGTATATGAATCAGAAGAATCGAACCATTTCCATTAAAAAAGCTGCAACGCTCGTTGTTATTTATGTATCTACCGCCATTTTGAAATAGATCAGTAAATAGACGAATACATGAAACAATAACGAAGTCAATGAATGAATAATGAATATGAAATAATAAATAACTTAAATAAAGAGTATAAACATTGATTGTATAATACACAACACTCTGTACATAAGTATATCTATCACAGTTTCTTTAGAGTTTTGTTTGTCTCCGTTTGCATTTATTTGTCCACGTACGTGTATAGCTAGACGAACTAAACATATCTGTTTATTAAGGCTGGTTAGTTGTCATTCGGGCCATTTTCAGTTTTACCAACCTTGTCTATGCATATATAACCTGTTTCTATTCTTGTATTCGGTCTCATATAGTCTTGGTCTTTGATGCGCCTGGTAAACTTGTAATTTTCCAGGTGTCTGTTAGAAATGTTATCGATTTATTCTTCATATTTTTGTGGCCACATACACAATTTATTGTCCGCAAAGTATAACATATAGTTTTTTTTTAATGTAACAACTTGGGATGGTAAGCAGTAAAAAGCGTTATTCTAAATTACGTAGTCGATGGCATTTAAACTACGTGGAAATTTGACGACTAGACCACATGGACAGTCTTTTATGGAACGAATTATAGGCGAATCGATGTACATCGTAAGGATATGAAAGATCAGACGGATCGATCAACAAAGGAAATAGATGACCTACACTCACTAAAAATTAATAGGCGTTGCACCTAAAATTGCATATAACAAAGAACAAAAATACATATTTAAATTCTTCAAATTGGAAATATGACATGATATAGCTAAAGAATTCGGACCAAAATGTCTTGCCACGTGTGCTTGCGTGTATATTCGTGCGCGTGTGCGTGTGTGTATGTGTGCGTCCGTGTGGGCTGAGCATGTGACTTTCAGCAAGAATGAGTGAGTCGATTTCCTCTCATGTTGGTGATGCCGTTAAACTAAGGTATACAAAGCTGTTTATATCAAACACAATCAGCTCTCGATTTTGTTTTAGATTATTGTTTAACCAGATCTAAAACAACAAAAAAGTATTTGTAACTGTTTTGTTTTAATGTTTTGAATGCATGTTAAACTAAAAGAAAAGAAAAAAAGGGGGAAAAAGATTTTTTTAAATATTATATCATGAATTTATTTTAAGAGCATCTCTTCTAAAACATTTTATACCCTGGTGGAAGCATACCAGGCGTTCTACCATTAGTACATTGTATTCTGTATATTATTTGCTACATGTTTTCTTATGATATATAATAATGTCCTTTGTAATTGTTGGGATTATAATTCTGATTTCATCCATTATATTTTTTCATATGTTATATGTTTAATTTTATGTCGTTGTCCATAGTACCGTGTTTGATATTCCGACCATAATGTTAATGCTATTCCGACCTTACAGTTCCTAAAAATAATATTTTTTAAATGTTTAGTTTAAACGGAAAAATACACAGATTACATAAGAAGACTTACTTAGACATGGTGTAAATGTAAGCCAATATGGTGAAAACATATTACCAGTTGGCTTATTACCAGCAGAAACTCATTTGGCTGTACATAGATGTAGTCATACACTGCAAATATTCACAATGAAAAGAACTTCCGTAAGTTCTTGATATGTTAAAAAAAAACATAGATGAACATATTTCTATGCGCTTGTTACATCAATCGTTAGTACTGTGTATAAACAGAAATGTTCTTCGCATTGAATGTAACTAAACAATAATCGTATGTACAGTATGCAGACCTATCTGTGGGCAAATATTATATGAGCTTTAAGCTGGCATCCTATTCAAATCAAGCAACTCTTGTGTTTTTTGTATCCTCAAAATTGCAAATTTATGTTTTTTCTGTATAGCACTTGGCAAATTTAGTTGAACCTAGAAATGATATTTTATATTTTAAGTCATATACACTTGTCATCATGTATATCACAATGGCGGGGAAAATGTATGTAGATGATACTCTGAAAATCATGCAAGAAATAAAGTGACAAGACTTTTTTTCTTCTTGCGAATATGTATGCTACTTATACCATTTCTTTGTCTTCCTCAACAAATTACTAATGTTGTGTTTCTCTACCAGATCGTTCATCAGCTTAATATAATTTTACTTGCTAGAGAATCAAAGAGTTTGCAACAAAATGTTTAATAAATTATTGGAATAAACGTCTGGCGTTGATATCTCTCTCTGCGTAAAGTGTTTTCGAAAGTTAATCGAGGTGCGGGGAGTGTATAATTATTTTACAGTCATAATTCAACCCATTGTCATCAACGGGTATAAAAGTATGTATTTAACACCAGAGGGACGGGACATAGATTTCATCCTCGCCTTGAACATTGGTTAATGGCAGATTATGCGGGTTTGAAGGGGAGGGGGATTACACATAAATGACACTACATGTAACAGAGGAGCATTTGCGAGAGAATTGTTTTGTGTGTATTGAAGAGAGAAGTATTTTTAAAAAAGGGAGGGGTATTGGAGAGAGAAATGTAGAGAAAGAGAGAGAGAGAGAGAATAATGCAGAGATAACTAAAGAGGGGGAGAGAGAGAGAAAGAGGGAGTACGGAAGAGAGAACTGAAGAGGGAGAGAGAGAGAGAGAGAGAGAGAAGGGGGAAGGGGTGGGAGCATGCATGCACATGTTACAACTTGCATTGTTTAAATCAAGGCATTATGAAGAGTTAAATGGTAAATGCTCTCCGAAGTGCAAAAACATAACGATCAACTTCAAAACTTTAATGTGAAGTTGACAGAATTATTAATTGCTTGTTCACTTCTATTGTTTTATTTACTTAAAACATGATCAAAGTGCCTCTCTAAACTGTTCATCAACATATAGGAAATGCACAAAGCACGACAAAACAAAGTTAAACGACCATTGCTCATGAGATATACTGGGTATTAATATCTTGCCCTAAGTGAATTTTCAGTTCAGCCCTGGAGCCCAAATTATACTCCACGTTCACCCTTACCCTAAATCTAATCTAAAACCCAATACTAACCCTATCCCTACCGCTATAATTATTTTAACAAAATAAAGCCAATTTTTTTTTTTGGAGTAAATGTTGAATCACCGCAAATTCGACTTGAAGGCAAGCAAAATGTCATTATCAATCGCTGACATGTCTGAAGCATCCTAAAAGTTGAAAAATGCAATTCACTATTCGACATGGCGAGATTCGCAGATATTAGACCGGGTTTCACAGCGATGCTTAAAGCTGTATCTTGAAGTTCTAGTTA